AGCTAGGTAAGGATGTTTAGATTATTTTCTGGGATATGATGTTGCTCCGCAAGTCATATTAACATATTAACAATAAACACACTGTACATATTACATATATCAATGATAAATTGTTTTAGAGGGGGGACTTTGGAACCTTAAACCAAAATTTTTATACATTCACATTTGCAAGTGACAACCTATTCAGATACGACTTTTGTTTGGTTTTACCGCTCTGATCGTTAGTACTTAGTTTATTATTCAGAAAGCAAGGAAGAAACGACTGAGTTTACTGGTATAATTTTTTAAGATTCTACATGATGGTCTTTGACAAAATCTCTTGAAACTGACCTCATGACTACAAATTGTTTAATGTAACCACGTAAAGAGCTCATGTAAAGTTTCCAATGCTATAACAGACTGTGCTGAAGAACCCAACTGTTTGTATTTGTTGAATTATTTCATTAGTGCTATATTGGAGAAAAAATACGTTATTTCTAATTGAAGGTGTAAACAGATAGAGCTTCACTATATGGAAGTCAAGTGCTTATGGTGTGGCACAGAAGCTCGCAAGGCAAGTTTTTTTTTTATAAAATTATCTGAAATCTCGAAACATTTTGATATTCTTAATTTCAAACCCTGTCTGAAAGAAATATCTTGCATTGCTTTGCCTATCTGATACAGTTTTGTTAATCATATTTTCATTCGAGAAAAAACAGATAAATGGGAATTTTATAGGTCAACAGCCGATCAGAGAAACCAGACAACAAGATGACGCCAAATTTTGGTCTCCTTTTGGCATTCATGCCCTTTCAAAAATTATTGTTGTTAAATTACTTAGTGTCATCTGCAATTAGATTTTTTTCATTTCAAATTTTGTTACTAAGATAACCAAGAAAAAAATCATTTTATGCCTTGAGTGTGTTTGTTTGATCATGTATTTATATTTTTCAGGTTAGAAAGGGTAAATCGTCTGGTAATTTACCTACCCGCAATAGCACTGCCACAATAGGAGTAATCTGAGGTCATGGCCTGTATGACTTATCAGACCTCCTATTCACAGATGAAGAGGAACAGATGAAGAGGAACAGATGAAGAACAGATGAAGCGGCGCCTACAGAACAGATGAAGAACAGATGAAGTATACATGATGTATGAAGAAATAAAGATTAACCAAAGAGTACTCAATAA